GTCCCGATGGTTGTCCTGATGGTTGTCCCGATGGTTGTCCCGATGGTTGTCCCACTGGTTGTCCCGATGGTTAGCCCGATGGTTATCCCGATGGTGTTGTTCCGATGGTGTTGTCCCGATGGTTGTTCCGATGGTTGTCCCGATGGTTGTCCCGATGGTGTTGTTCCGATGGTTGTCCCCATGGTTGTCCCGATGGTGTTGTTCCGATGGTGTTCTACCGATGGTGTTGTCCGGATTGGTTGTCCCAATTGGGTGTCCCGATGGTTGTCCCGATGGTTGTTTGTCCCGACGGTTGTCCCGATTGGTTGTCCCGCCGGTTGTCCCGATGGTTGTCCCGACGATTGTCCCGACGGTTGTCCCGATGGTTGTCCCGACGGTTGTCCCGATGGTTGTTCTGACGGTTGTCCCGATGGTTGTCCCGATGGTTGTCCTGATGGTTGTCCCGACGGTTGTCCCGATGGTTGTTCCGAAGAGTTGTTTCGGTGGTTGTCCCGATGGTGTTGTCCTGATGGTTGTCACGATTGTTGTTCCGATGGTTCTCCCGATGGCTGTTCCGATGGTGTTGTCCCGATGGTTGTTCCGATGGTTGTCCCGATGGTTGGCCCGATGGTTGTCCCCATGGTTGTCCCGATGGTTATCCCGATGGTTGTTTCGTCGGTTGTTTCGATGGTTGTCCCGATGGTTGTCCCGATGGTTCTCCCGATGGTTGTCCTGGTGGTTGTCCCGATGGTTGTCCCGACGGTTGTCCCGATGGTTGTCCCGTGGTTGTCCCGATGGGCAGATGTGCGCGACAAGGACAGTTGAAGAAACCGCCAAGGAACCCTCAGCCATCGCAAATCGACCGCCTCCCCCTTCCCCCTCCCGACCTCCTTATCATTCGTAGGGTGGTCCTATCGGTACTACAACAGTGCTGCGATAGTACGGCATTTGAGTATTCCTACTACTGTACTGTAGTACGCTCACTTCAGGCAATAGTAGAGTATCGCTTTTACGAATACCGAACAAGAGTGCTGCTTCTACAGTGCCACTACAACAACAGTACAGCACGGCCTCACAATAGTAAGGCACGCTCCCTGCAATACTACCACTACCACTACAGCACAACAGTTCGAGGATACTACTACTGTACTCGAGTTCTACAGTTGAGGATAACTCTCATTGTAATATCACAGTGCGGCTACTAACTCGATTGCTATACTATATTCTTCATTGCATGATATGAGTATTTCTACTACAGCTACAGGGCTACTACAGTGCTGCCACTTTGGTTATGCGATATTATCACTAGCTCAGCACGGTATTGGCGTACCAGTAGACGGCATCCGAGTACCACTGCTGCAGTACTACTGCGACAGTATTGTACTACGACTATTAGAGTGTCACCACTACAGCGCTACAGCACTCGCGTGCTACAGCAGTGCTGATATTCTACGGTGCTGGAGTATTCCCACTACAGTCCTGTAGTGCGTTCCCTAAAGGCAATCGTAGAGTACAACGCTTACGAATGCTGTATTCGAGTGCGGCTTCTACGGTACCACTACTGCAGTACAGCACGGTTCCACAATAGTACATCAATATTCTTACAGCGCTACCACTAAAGCGCTACAGTTTCAAGCTGTGACTACTGAATTCGAATACTGCTTTAGTTGGCCACTTCTACTACAATACTACAGTGCGTCTACTCAAGCAAGTGCTAGAGTATGATCTTCACTGCAATACCTGACTGCTACTATTGCAACTACAGGATTACTACAGTGCTGTCGTTTCATTCATGCAGTACTACTGATGGCTAATCACGGCATGAGAGTACTACTAGTACGGTACTAGAGTACCACTGCTGTAGTACTACTGATACAGTACAGCTGTTTCCCATCAAGCTTGAGAATTTCAGTGGAATCGTTCGATGAGGACTGTCGTTCCCCGAGCGACGCCGCGCGGCATGCCCGCCGCTTTCCTCGTCGCACGCACGAGACAGCAGCGCGCGGCCAGAGTCGGCGCGACCACTGCGACGTCGCCCTGAAGCGACGCCGCGTGGCGTGCGCGCTGCTTTCCTAGGAGAGCCGTGTAGAAAACGCCAGAGACCGCTTAGAAGCCGGTCTGGAAACCGCTATGACTTGTATAGAAACTGGTGGACCCCTTAACATCTGTCAAAGCAGCAGATCTTTTCTTAATGAGTTCGACCGGCTTCTATGTCAACCATGTAAGTTTGTGGGCCGTTATTTTGACGGTTTCTACGCGCGGTTTCTAGGAGACTGTTGCGACAGCGATGCCAGGGGGCGTTCCGCGCTGGCGGTGGCGGTTGGCAGGGCGCTGCAATCCGCCCACTGTCGCGACATAGCGAGGGCGCCCCCTTGCCGCGTCGCACCGAAGCATGCGTGCGCCAACGCGGCAGCGCCGAGTGTGCGCATGACCATTACGTTGCACTATCTAATTCTGGTGCGCGCGAAAAAAAAAAAAACGACCACCTACGCGAGCGACTGCGCCCGAAGACGCGCCCAGAAAGTCCGCGCGGGCTGCTCTTTCGCTCTGGCCGCATTTCGGAACGCGCAGAGACGAGCGCGAAGCCAGCGCGCGGCGCGCCGCGCCCTCCCCCCCATTGTGCAAAGCTGGATGCCGACGCGGACTCTGCCGCCCGGCCCGCGAACCAGCTTTGCGCAATGGGGGGGGCGAAAGGGGGGGGGGTCAGACAGGAGATAGTCCACGGTTGACGGGCTTGCTCTCGTAGTCTTGGTGTTTTTTTTTCGCACGTGCTGGACATTGTTTTCCCGCTTTGGTCAGTCTTGTCTTCTAGGTTTTATGTTAAGTTCTTTCCTGTCGGAGTCAGACTGAAGAAGGTTACGGCCCTGACCTGGGGGCTTCCAGGCGCGCGTTGAAATTTCAAGCTGGAATCGAGAAGCGGCGGTGCTAGTGTATTGCGGTTATTACAGTGCCAGTGCTACAGAACTACAGTGCTATAGTATTACAGCAATGCTGCGATGCTACAGTACTAGAATACTGGCGGGTACAACGCCATGCAATCCAATGCGATCGAAATGCGGATGCAATTCAACGCGATGCGATCGCACTGCAGCGCCGTGTGGTTTGCATCGCACTGTCCCGCGAACCCCTTGAATGCTCCAGAGCATTCTAGAGCGGTCTAGATCCCCGCGGGCCTGTCGCGGCCCCCTTGCGGCCAGCACCGCTGGTGGTGGTCGACTGGTGGCGGGAGGGCCACCCTCATGTGTGCATGCAGAGGTATGTATGTACGTATGTATGTATGTACGTATGTATGTATGTATGTACGTTTGTATGAGGTATAAATGGATAGTTTGGTACATGACATTGTTTTTGAACGAAGTTGTCTTTTTCCGCCCCCCTTCCCCGCCGAACGCCACCGCCATCGGCCATCTCGGGACTGGGAGGGGGCTCCCGCCGAAGGAAAAAGGACCGCCGCGCGATGCGGAAGAGAGAGAGAGAGAGAGAGAAAGGAAGGGATATATATATATATAGAGAGAGAGAGAGAGGGATAGAGAGAGAGAGAGAGAGAGAGCGAGAGAGAGAGAGAGGGAGAAAGCAGAGAGAGAGAGTGGAGAGGACAGGAAGGAGAGAGAATATAGAAAGAGAGAAAAAGAGAGAGGGCAGAGGATGAATTGAGGGACGCACAGGGGCGATTCGCCCCCGAACCTCATCGGGGCACCCCATGCGGATTCTATCGGGACTCCATCGGGACACCATGTGGGCACCATCGGTGGCTAACCGGGGGGAGCACTTTGTTTGGCCCTGAGAGCGGCGAGTTCGCTCCGCTTGCCCGCCCACGCAGCTTCGCCTCGCCCGCCCGCCCGCACGGCACGAAGCCGAGACCGGTTTCCTGGTGGGGGTCAGCCGTTTTTTTGGATCTCACCCCGCAGCTTCCGATCATGCTTCTCTCAGGCGATCGCAAACATGGATCAAAGTGGCGTGGATTAGCGACGGGTCCCGCTTCCATTGGAAATCGCGGATTTCCGCCGCCGAACGAGGCGGCACCCGCCGCATTTTGGGGAGGGCACCTCCTCCGATCCATGGATTGGCCACCGCGCGCCAAATCCATGGATCGCTAATCCATGTTTGCGCGCCCCCGATTCTCACACCCGGTGACGGGAGCCAGGGCCCCCCCCCCCAAAACCAGTTGCCCATATCTCGGCCCCTCATCGTTGCCCCCCCCAGCCGTGCAGCTGTGTAAAGCTGTGTAGGGCCTTCTGCCGCAAGGGTGCTAGTTTTTCGTGCTCGCTGGAGTGCATGGTCGCGTGGCGTCGGCTCGCCGAACGCCGTGTGACAGGCCTCCCTTTCATTTCCTGGTAGGTGGCTTGGTTGTGTTTTGGTCTGGTCTGGTACGATCCTGAGGGTCCTCGTGGGGACATGGCGTGGTCCTGGTGGGATGCCCGCCTGGGGGGGAAGGTCTTACCTTCTCCTGGAACGGCCGTGATGAGTTTTTGGTAGGGTCCTGCTGGGGTTTTGGTTGTGTCTTGGTACGTTCCTGTCAGGGTCCTGGTAGGTGCCTGTCAGGGTCCTGGCGCAGCCCTGGTAGTGTCCTGGCAGGGTCGTGGCAGAATCCTGGCAGGATCCATGCGCTGTCCTTCATGTGTCTTGGCAAGCTATTGGCAGCGTCGCAATATGGTTCTGGTATGGTTCTGGTCGGGTCCTGGTAGTGCGCTGACCTGGTTTCTGGTAACGTCCTTGCTGGGTCCTAGTTCCGTCCTGGTGCGGTGGTCCTAGTAGGGTTCTGTGTTCTAGAGTTCAGAACGGTCCTGGCAGATTACTATTGTGGTCCTGGTAGGGTTGTGGCATGCTCCTGGCAGTGTCTGGTGCACCTAGCAGCTTTTGTTTCCCATGCGTTTGGGCTTATATCACTGGTGTGGCCCCATTAGGTGTGTTGCTGCGGCCCTGAGGGTGAATTCCTCCCACATGGCCGAAACAACTGTCTACAAAATCAGCGTGGTTGCTGCTCCTCTTGTTATCCTTGCCTTTCCCGCCGCCGCAATCAGGATGGCTACCACTGCTGGGAGCCAACAGCCTCGCCAGCACAGTCCGCATCGTCCACGACAACGGCACCCGAGATCCCAGCAACCCGCGAGGCAGCGCGAGGAGGAAGGGGGGGGGAGGGGGCAACGAAGGAGGGAGGGAGGGAGGGAGGGGGATGGGGCAGGAGTGAAAGGGGGAGGCAGGGAGGTGGAAAGGCAGACGCGCAACCAGAGTATCTTGCCAGTTTGTAGTTTTTCCTTTCCTTACATTCTTTGCATGTACCTCGAGCTTCTCTTCTTCCCGTCCACACGCGCGCTTCATGTCATGTTTGGACCAGCCTTGCCGGGTCAATCACATTGCCATACTCAATCAAAACCAGTTTGAACCTTATGGGTGCTCAACGCAATCTGCGCAGTATTGCGATGAAGATTGTGCCTCCCCCCGGCGCTGTGCTGCAGTATCGTAAGTGGCGGCATCCAGCATGCATGGTTTAGTAAACGCAGCACCCGTGACAAAAAGCTGTGGCGACCCTCATCCTGGTGAACCTGGATCCTGGGGCCTGGATGAAGTTGTGCAATGGAAGGCCTCCGTGCACGTCAATATCAATTAGCGCCAGCTCTGTGTCGACAGTGCTAATTGGACTAGCGCATTGCAACTCTTCCAGGGGGATCGTGCAATTCGGCTTCAATGAAGGACGGTCTTGTGAAGTTTGCGCGTTCCTGTGGAAGCGAACGCGTCTGCGGGATATCCAGGGCAACTGGACTGGATCTGGACAACGATCGACGAACTAACGACACGCCGACGAAGTAGGGAGGTACCCACTTTTCCGTTGACGAAGTTGGTGCCACAGCAGCAGCGATGCTGAAACACAATACCGTCTTGGTACACCGACCGCCGCTGTTCGTGACTTAAGTGTACTTGCGGGGCGACTAGTCGTCGCACGAGAAAGAAGTACACGCACAATAACAAGACGGACCAAGCTTCCATCCAGACATGCCCTTCCACATCCCAGAGCGGAGTGAGTTACAGGTCAGGTATTGCGATGCCAGAGTGATTCTCGCGAAGGGCATTTGCACAGCCCGCGCAACCAATTTTTGCAGTTGGCATGGGACACTGGTGATGTTAGCGGAGACGTGGAGTCCAAAATGTCCATGAAATGTCCCGCAGTGTGCGCCGATCATTTCAGACTCTCACGGGCTGATGTGATTCAAGCAGTGTTTCGATCCGCCAGAGCCTAGATGATGCTGCACAGTGAAGTCTCAGAGGCAACGCGTTGCGCGATGGCTTCTCACGATTCGGGACAGGCGGAACACTTGCGGATGGTGATTGCATGTAACCTTTTGATGCGAGGTGGAAGGTTGCATGGTAGTGTGTATCGTGCGATGCGGAGCTGAGTTAATCCCCTGCAACTGTGATGCGACTATAGCGGGTGCTCCTGAGGATGATGGTGGTTCGTTTTTGGCGCCTGATGGCTTCTCGGCTTGCTGAGTGCAGCAGCCCTGGTTCAGGGGTGAGCCGTGACGTCGAATACCAGCCTCCACGACCACGCCGACGCTCTCGGGGCTTCAGCGCGCTGGTGTGACTAGGAAGCCCGCGTGCCCCAGAGCAGCCGACGACCGAGTGCGACCAGGAACGCCGACCCGCTACCTACCTGGGACGCCTCTCGGCGCGGCACCGCCCGCCTCCTTGACTCTGCGACCACTTGCGAACCCTGAGCCTGCATGCCCACTCGACGCTGGGGTATCGAATCGACGGCGAAATCCGAACCCAGGCAACTCGATGGGCGGCGGGGGTAACTAGGGCTCGGAATTCGTCGAACAGGTGGCGAAATTCGAACCCTACTCCCGCCTCGTAGGGTTCGGATGTCGCCACCCATCGGACACCCCCGCTGGGCTTCACCTGGCTGCAGGCATCCCTCGAATTCTGAACCCCAGCCAATTTTTTAGAAATCTGACCCGCAGGGGCAGGGTTCACATTTGATGGCCTACAGTCGAGTCCGATTAGCAGGTCGACCCTGCCAAATCAAGGGTACCTTCGTGTCCCGTGTGTTCGCGTCCCGTGTCCTCCGCATTCCTCTGGCAATGTGGCCCTCAGAAGGGGCCTGTATGTTCTCGCGTGTCCTCTCCAATCGAACTCGACTGTGTTCATCCGGAGAGCACCGCTGAGACGGCCCGCGCGAGTGGATTTCCGAGGGTGTCCCCGATGAGCACATATTTCCATGAGGCCTCACGAAGTCACACGAAGGAATTGCCAGCCAGCTCCCACGAACGAGCCTCCCAGGGGCTTCACTGGGCCTGCAGGGCTCCTCCAGAGGCTCTCACGGTGGGATGCAGGAGGGCAGTGATGGACTGCCAATGGGACCGCCGACCGATGTCGAGAGGGATCTTGGGGAACCTTCACGGGTTTCCCAGAATCTTCGTGGCCCCAAGGGCTTCCAAAGATCTTCCAGTGGCCTCTAGAGATTTCCAATGGCTCGCTCAGATCCAGGGGCCTTCGTAAACGGTCTCAAGAGATGTCCCCAAGGCAGGTCCTGGAGGATGGCTCGCCATCGCCAACAGGCCCGCCAACCCGAGTCGTCAGAGGCCCTCCAGGAAGCCTCCACGCAGTATGAGGCCTCCCGAAACCTTCAGGAAACTTTCAGGCAGCGTCCATGGGTCTTCAGAGGTTTCAAGGGGCCTCCAGCGGGGCTTCTCGACAATGAGTTCCAGGCGGAATTGAACTGCCAACAGCACCGCCAGTCCATGGCGAGGGGGGATGCATGAGGTTCAAGGGCAACACCTCCAAGACGCCAAGGGGTGTCCTGGTGCTTGGAAGGAGCCTCAGTGGCCTCCAGCGGTCATAAAAACTTTCATGCGCCTCCAGGAGGCTTCCAGACGGTAGGGTGGTGCATTAAAATGCTGTAGGAGTCATTGGTGATACCTTTCTGTCTATCGGTTCTGGGAGCTCCCAGGTGGATGGCGCAGTGAGGCTGCATAGGTCTACCTAATTGCAAAGAGTGGCGATTGGCAGGCTGGCCTTCTGAGCGCCTCTTGGGGCTACGCCAAGGCCTCCCATGACCCCCCCATAAACTTCCAGAAGCCTCCCAGGATTTTTTGTCCCCTCGTAGTGGTGGTTGCTGAATTTTGATGTAGTTCTAGTTCGTGGCCTCCTCGTAGTGCTCTCGTGGAGGCGATTGTGGAGTTTCGGTTCGGTTTCTCTTGGTCCGTTGTCCTCTTGTGGCTCTGGGTCTTCTTGGACATTTCTATCAAGTAGGGGAAAGCAGAAGGTACCGATATCGCTACTTCATGGACCTCTCGCGGGGGGCGTTCTGACCAGACTTTCGGGGCGAATCCAGCTGTGGTGACGAGAGCCTCCCAGGTTGCCGAAAAAGGCGAAACCGAGGGAAGGATAGCGGTATGGGTACTTTTTCTTTCTCTGACAAGTTGCTCGTTCCTGGGGGTCCTCGCGTCATCTTTCGACAGCTCGTGGCCGTGGCCTTGTTGTTTGTGGCTCCTGGCGCCCTCGTGGCCCTCTCGTGGGCGGTGTGCACCAACACTCGATTCCGTGGCACGTGGCCCGTGGTACCCTCGCGTCTCGTGGCCAACTCCGCAGACCTCTCGTGGGGGGACATGCCGACTTTCGACCCTTCTTGTCGTGTGTGTGTGTGTGTGTGCGTGCGTGCGTGTGTGTGTGTGTGTGTGTGCGCGCGTGTGTGTGTGTGTGTGTGTGTGTGTGTGCCGGGGCTCCTCTGCCCTCGTGCATCGCGGCCTTAATTTGCATACAGTGTGTCCCCTGTAGCTTGTCCGCCGGAGCAGTCGCCCTCTGCCTAGCCGCCGACGCAAAAAGTGTGTGTGTGCCCGCTCGCACTGACCCTGTGCCGGCTCCCGCCGGCCAGGCTTCCGCCGCTGCCATTGCCCCGTGAACGGCCGGCCACTTACTTTACCTCCAGCGCGCGCGTCGGCGGTTTCGTTGGACGGCGTGGCGTTGCGCCCGCTCGCAGACGACCGACAAGTGTATGTGTGTGTCTGTGTCTGTGCGTGGCAGATGTCGGTTTAGTGGCTCGTGGCCTGTTGCCTCTCGTGGCTCGTTGCCCTTCCGTCGTGGCCGCCTTTGGCCCGTAGGAGCACCCAAGCCCTGGTGTACCCTTGGGGGGGGGGGGAGCGGGCATGGCCGTACGGAGCTGGGTGATAGAGGGGTGTGGGGCATGGCCGCGGAACGCATTGCCCACGGGGACCGCGCGGGCCACCTTTCGATCTGGTGGCTCGTGCGTGGCCTTCTCGTGAAGCCTCGCGTGCGAAGGTGGCCTTCGAGGGTGGACTCGGTGGTTTGTGGCCCTCGCGCACGGGGTGGGCTCCAAGCGTGGGCTCGCTGGCCCGTGGCCCGTTGCCCCGAAGCCCACTGGCTGGCCAGTGTGCCGTGGCCCCCGATCCTCTGGCCCCTGGCCTTAAGTCGGGCGTGTCCCTCTGCAGGAGGAGATTTCAAGAATAGGTGCAACATGGACAGGGGACAATTGTTTCATTATTTTGGGATCATGTTTGAATATTTTTGGGATCATTTTTATTATCCGTCCAAAACCCTCCTTTAGGGGGACACGCCCGACCTAAGCCTGGCCCTTGGTGGCCCTTCCGGTCGGTGGCCCGTGGCTGCGTTGCCCGTGGTTGCTGGCACGTGGTCGCGTGGCCCGCGGTCGGCGTCCCGGTGGCCGCGGTGACCTCCCTGTGGCGCCGCAGCCCTTGGTGGCGCCCCTCTTCCATTGTATGGACTGGTCAGTTTTCTTTCGCACTCCCACGCTCTCACACTTTTTTTTTTTTTTTTTTTTTTTTCTTTTCTCTCTCTCTCTCTTTCTGCAGGGCGAGTCTTCTTTTTGTGTCAGAGGGCTTGGGCCTCAACATCCGACTCCGATGGGGCCTCGTGCGGTGGGCCCCCGTGGGCCTTCCTCCTCCGTCTCCTCCTCCCCCTCCTCCTCCTCCCCCTCCTCCTCCTCCTCCTTCTCCTCCTCCTCCCCCTCCTCCTCCTCCTCCTCCTCCTTCTCCTCCTTTTCCTCTGGACCTGCGTGGTGCCTAGGCTTGAGGCGTTCTGATTCATCGGATCATTGGTGCTGCTCTGCTCCTTCTCCTCCTCCTCCTCCTCCTCCTCCTCCTGAGCGTTCGATTCCTCTGGTCGTGGCGCCGTGATGACTCGTGGCGCTCCCGCGGGTCGATTTTCGGTCGACCGTCGACCCCCACGGCCTCTCGTCGTGGCTCTCGCGGCCCCTTCGCTCCACGGAGGGGTTCCAGGCTGAGGCTCCTGCCGACACCGCAACGGAAAAAACACCTGCACCAGTTTGCAACATGCGCATCGAATAAGGAAGGGAGGTGTCTTATTCCCTTAAGGCCGCGGAACTCCACAGAAACCTTGGGGTACCGCAGGAAGTTCTAGTATGTTCGGAGGTCAGCGGCTCTCGGTGCGAGCCGAGGGTGGCACAAGACGTTCGATGGTCGCCGAGGGTTTGGGGAGCTTGTCCCCGCGGGTCGCATTTGAAGAGCCCTCTTGTGCTGCGCCTGCACTGTTGTGGTGGACACGTGTTTGAAGATCGACGACCCCTGTGGCTGGATTATGTACAGTAGTAGCTATATTCATTTTGCTGTCATCAACTGTACGCGCTTCCGACTGGTTAGGGTGTCCTCCTCTCGAGCCGTCGCAGCTTGCGTTGGCTGCTTCTGTTTTGCTTCCACCTTCCAGCTTTCTGTCGATCATTGCGCCTTCTTGATCCCAAAGGGGGCTCAGAGGCGTACTCTTCTTTCTCAAGCGACGTAACCGCCACAGCGCGGGGATCAAGCCACCACCCCGAAACGCCCTTCCCGTCCCCCCCCCTCTGTAAAGCAGCGTTTCGCAGGGGGGCGCCCTCTGGAACAGCTGGGCAGACATCCCCCCCCGGCAAACTGGAGGCAGGCGGTCTTGGAATCAATCGGCATACCATAGCCATGGCTCTCTTCTGTGGCGAGCCCAGGGGGTATGTGAGAGGGGGCTGGCCATTTTGTTGGGAGGAAAGCGCCCTTGATCGGGTTGCTGGCATATGACGTGCACGGTAACGCCAAGTCGGCGCGCCCTCTCCCCTCCTCTTCCCTCCTCCCCTCCTCTCCTCCTCTCTGGCCAGCTCCTCTCCTCCTCCTCTCCTCCTCCCTCCTCCTCCTCTCCTCCTCCTCCCCTCCTCCCCTCCTCCTCTTCTCCCCTCCTCTCCTCTCCTTCTCTCCTCTCCTCCTCTCCTCTCCCCTCCTCTCCCCTCCTCTCCCCTCCTCCCCTCCTCCCCTCCTCTCTGGCCAGCTCCCATCTGGGATTAGACGGTGAGCCCAGGCGGGGGATGTGAGAGGGGGCGGGCCTTCTCCGAGGGCTCGGAGGGCCTCCGGCCTTCGCGGAGAAGCTTCTCAGAAGGCCTGGAGACGCAGAGCACTTCGCAGAGGGCGCGCGGGCTTCTGAGAAGCCCCGCCGCCTTCGGAGTAGGCCCTGCCCACTCTCGCTTCCCTTAAGTCGGGCGCGTCCCTCGACGGGAGGAATATTCAAAAAGAGTAAAAAATAGTCAGGGGACGATTTTCTCATCATTTTTGGATTCTTTTTTGGAATATTTAGGGGCTATTTTGATTCTGCGTCAAAAATCCGCCTGTAGGAGGGCATGCCCCATCTAACACTTCCCCCCTGGGCTCGTCGCCGATCTCCGTTTCGGGAGAGGGGGTTCCAGTTGCGATCCCGTCTGGGACTGGCATGCAAGGTGGTGGCGGGAAGGGGGATGGTGAAGGTGGGGGGAAGGGGGATGGTGAAGGAGGAGGAGGAGGAGGGGATTTAGAACGCAATAGCCTCGTCGCTCCTGTTTGCCCAGCGAAGAGGAGGTTGCTGAGGAGGACGAGGTAAAGGAGGAGGAGGAGGAGGAGGAGCATCAGGGCGAGAAAGATGGGAGGCGGGGCGTGGCAGAGGGAGGACCCCCCCCCCCCTCCGACGCACAGGTGCAGCTGGATCTCGCCGGCCTCCTCGACGGCGCCGCGGGCGGCGGCCCTGGCCAGGGGGCTACGGCCAGGCTGCTGCAGGCGTGCCCGTCTCCGGCTCGGTGAATACAAGCGGTGTGGTTATCTGGGGGCCCCCAAACGGGGTGGTGACCACTCCGTGCGGTGAGTCGGTGGGGATTAGGGGTCACCGCGCGGTTTTGGGATTCGAGTCCCTCTCCGAGGATGTCTCGGGCGACAGGGGCCTCCAGGGTCCCAAGACCGTGCGGTGACGGACAGTGCGGTGAGTCCCCCAGGTTACACTGGGGTGTGGTTTGCGATCTGCGTCCGCTGGGGCTTGGGGTGCACCATGTTGCCCTCGTCGGTCCGCCGCGGGGCGCGGCGGAGAGCTCTGCCGAGGTCCTCTTGCCCTCCAGGCTGCGCGTTGCAAGCCACACCCTGTGCAAACCACGCCATTCGGAGTTGCCGACACCCGAGCTCGTTCGGGCAACTGGCCTTGACGTTGTTTCAATCTTCCTGCTCTGTGCAGTCATTTGGCTGATGCGCACCGCTTACTGTACGCTTCCTGCATCCCTCCCGCGCTGGCGGATAAAAGCGAGGGGGCGCCCGGGCCGCCCATGTTTGGGCCAAGTGCGGGGCGGGGGGCGGTACGATTATAAATGTTTATACATGGAAGAGCATGTTCTACCGCTGCTGGCGAAAAACCAGGCGGGGTCACTGGGGGTTCCCAACCCGTCCCCCCCCCCCCCTCGAAAACTGGGGGGGGGGGGTCACTACCGGTTCGGACCCCTCCCCCTCCCATGCCATCATGAAAAGGGGCGGGGGGGGGGTCATTACCGGTTCGACCCCCCCCCCTCGAAAACCGGGGGGGTTCATTACCGGTTCGAACCCCTCCCCCCTCCCTCGCCGTTGGCAAACGAGTCCCGCTCCTCGGGAAAGTTGGACAATGATGGGGATGCTGGGACAGTGGTGGGAACGGTGGTAGTGGGGACAGTGGTGCGGGGACAGTGGGACAGTGGTGCGGACAGTGGTGGGGACGGTGGTGGTGAGGACAGTGGTGAGGGGACAGCGGGACAGTGGTGGGGACAGTGGGACACTGGTGGGGACGGTAGTGGTGGGGACAGTGGTGAAGGCGGTGGTGAGGACAGTGGTGGGACAGTAGTACAGTGGGGAAAGTGGCGGGGACAGTGGGGACAGTGGGACAGTGATGGGGACAGTGGGGACGGTGGGACAGCACACTGGGACAGCGGTGGGGACAGTGGGACAGTGGTACAGTGGGGACAGTGGGACAGTGGTGGGGACCGTGGGGAAAGTGGGGAGAGTGGGACCGTGGTGGGACAATGGTGGGTCGAATGGGGACAGTGAGACACTGGTGGGGGCACTGGTGGGGACAGCGGGGACAATGGTGGGAACAGTGGGGACAGTGGGACAGTGGAGGGTACAGTGGTGGTGGGGACAGAGGTGTGGGGACAGTGGGAATGTGGTGGACACAGTGGGACAGTGGAGAGTACAGTGGTGGTGGGGACAGTGGTGAGGGCGGTGGCGAGGACGGCGGTGGGACAATGGGACCGAGGTACAGTGGGGACAGTGGTGGGGACAGTGGGGACAGTGGTGGGAACAGTGGGACAGCTCAGTGGGACAGCGGCGGGGACAGCGGGACAGTGGAACAGTGGTACGTGGGACAGTGGGACTGGGGACAGTGGGGAGAGTGGAACCGTGGTGGGAACCTTGGCGGGGACAGTGGGGACAGTGCGACAGTGGTGGGGGCACTGGTTGGGACAGTGGGGACGGTGGTGGGTACAGTGGGGACAATGGTGGTGAGGAGAGTGGTGCTGGGGACGGCAGTGGGGGATGTGTTGCGGACGGTGGTAGGGACCCGGGAGTCGTTTGCTGGCGGCGGTGAGCGTAGGGTGGTGGTGAAGGGGGGGGTTCGAACTGGTAAAGACCCCCCCCGGTTTTCTGGAGGGGGGGGATGGAGGGGGTTCGAACCGGTAGTGACCCCCCCCAGTTTTCTGAAGGGGGTGGGGGAGGGGTTCGAACCGGTAGTGGCCCCCCTCTGGTTTTCTGGGGGGGGGAGGGGTTCGAACCGGTAGTGACCCCCTCCGGTTTTCCGGAGGGGGGGGGTTCGAACCGGTAGTGACCTCCTTCGGTTTTCTGGGAGGGGTGGAGGGGGTGGGGGGGGGGGGGGTAGGGGAGGGGGGGGGTTTGCCGGGGGAAGGGGTGGGGGGGCGGGAGGGGGTCCAGCATGGGGGGGGGGACCCCCGGGTTCCGGAGGAAGAGGGGGTGGAATTTTCCACAGTAAAGCGGCGGTGGATCACGCTCTCTCTTATACATACACACCTGTGTATAATCAAGTGTATAATATGCACAGACCTACGCATCTACAACTATTCGCCCAGACACATCTATGAATACAGATGCGCACCAAGACTGCCGAACACAGAGGCAACTTTGCAGCCCGCCGCAGAGGGCCGGTGCACCTGGGCGCTCGCCAGAGCACATGCCGCTTGCCACCCTACCGGGGAAGCCGTGGTCGGCGTCCTCGGGGGAAGGCGCAGCTTTCGGGCCAGGTGTGGGGCCTCTGAGGGGCCCAGTGCCCTTGTGCTCCCCGCTGTCGCCGCTGCGAGGGCCGCGGGCGTCGAGCAGGTTTCTGCGCCTCTCGGGCCTCTCGCTCCCCTCTCCCAAGCTCTGGGGAGGCGTCCTGGCCTGCCTACAGGTCCACCAGAGACTGGTCGACGAACTCTGCGCGGTTTGCACGACATGTTCTCATAACATTTCTGGCTGGGACTGCCTTGTTTCCTGCCATCGGCTCTATGTTCTCAAGAACATTGTTCTTGCTCCTGGAACATTTTCGGGTTCCAACAGCGTGTCCTGTTAGGCCTATAGGAATGCCGGGACGGCCGGCCCCTGCTCCCCTCTCGCGGCTCTCGTGCAAACGTCGCGTGCGGGCCGCGGGGCTGGGGCGGGCCGCCCTGGGGTCGGGCCGCCCGCGCGGTGTCGAGAGCGCTGTTCGAGGGGGCGTGGGGGGGGGGGGGGGGGCGGGTCGCACGGGTCGCGGGTCTCGGGGTGGGGGCGCGCGTCGCGTGGGGGGCTCGCGCGCCGCCAGGTTCGCGGGTCGTACGGGCCGCGGGGTCTTTGCTTCGAGGTGGTGCGTGGGCGTGGGCGCATGCTTGTCCATGCCGGGCGTCCCAACAAAAAGGCCCTCGCCCTCGTGGCGCTCGAGAGGATGCCCGCGCTCCCTCCGCGGAAGCCGGCGGAAGGCTGGCGGACGCTGGCGGAAGTAGAACTGCCAGCGCCTCCGCTTGCAGAGGCCGGCGAAAGAGGCCCGCGGCTGTTTGGTGCGGCAGTCGAGAATGGCCCCCGCAAATACTTCCAGGAGTGAGGGAGCAGCGAGAGGAAAACGGAAGGCCCGCGGAAGTCAGCGGAGACAACACATGCCGTCCCAGGTGATGCCAATGTTTTTGCTTTCGTGGTTCTTGGAGTCGATCATACACTGTGGCCTTGCCGTTTCTGGGCCGCCCAATACAGCCCCCAAGACGGCCAATATGGCCTCCAACATGTATCCTAGCCCGCACAAGCTCCCCAATCGGGTCTCAGCATCCCGGTAAGATGGCTCAATCTGGTTTCGAAGACGGCCATTGAGGCCCAAGATGGCCATCAAGACGGTTCAATATGGCCCCAAGACGGCAACGCTACAAGAGAGCCGCAGGAGGGCCCCGAGACTGCCCAGGGGGGCTCCACGATCTTTTACGATGGCACCATCAAGGGTTGAGAACAGTCCCCAAAAACGCCCAAAGGCGGCCCGAGAGGGCTCCAAGATAAATCCGAGACGGCCCAGACGGTTCCAGAGCGCCGCAAGACTTCGGCCTCCTCGCCAATCCTCGCCACTCCTCCCCGCTCCTCCCCCTTCCCCCGTCTTTCTCCTCACTCCTCGGAGGTCCTCCCCACTCCCCCCACTCCTGCGAGTCCCACTTCATTCCCTCCACCACCTCCCCACCCCACACGACTCCCCTCTTCTTCGCCCTCTTCCGCACTTCTCCCAACTCCTCCCCACCCCTTCCAGTCCTACCGCGCTCTCATCTCCATCTCTCAGTCTCTCCCAGTCACCCCGCTCTCCATCTCAGTCCTCCCAGTCACCCCGCTCTCCGTGACTCCCCGCCTTGCCCAGCCTCGCCCCACTCTGCCCTGTTGCACTCCTCTCCTTTCCTCGTCTCTCCTCCCCGCTCATCTCTTTCCTCTCCGCTCTACTCCTCGGGCCTTCGCCCCGCCCCACGCTCGCCTACGCGTCCCCACTCCTCCCGGCGCGACCCACTGGCTCACCGCTCCCCGCCACCCCTCCCGACCTCCACTGCCTCCTGCCCGCTCCTCCCCACTGCTGCCCGCTCAGCTCCCCTCCTCCCCCCCCTTCCGCACGCGTCTTCCTCCGCCCTCGCCCGCACTCGTCCGCCCTCGTCCGCACTCGTCTTCCTCCGCCCTCGTCCGCGCTCGTCCACCCTCGTCCGCACTCGTCTTCCTCCGCCCTCGTCCACGCTCGTCCGCACTCTGCCCTCGCCCCCCTCGTCAGCACTCGTCTTCCTCCGCCCTCCTCCGCCCGCCTCGTCACGCTTCCCACCCTCGCCTCGTCCGCCCGCCCACTTCCGACCCATGTCAGCCCCAGGGCATACCCCTCCCAGGCTCCCTCTCGACTGGCCCTTCCCCGCCGCCTCTGGCCGTTGACCCCACGCCCCGGGACCTCCTCCGCCAGGAGCTCTCCTCCCCCTGCCTTGAGCCCGGCTGGGCGCCTGCTGCGCAAGCAGGGCCGCGTTGTGGCCTCCACTGCACGTTTCGGGGCGGCCGCCGCTGGTTTCCCTCCCTCACCCCTCACTCCTGCCCTCCCTTCCTGCTTCTGGCCTGCCCGCCCTTTCCGCTTCCCCTCCCCACTCCTCCCCACGAGTCTCCACTTGTCCCCCGAAACTCTTCCGGCCTCCTCCCCCTTCCTCGTGAGTCTTCCCCACTCCTTCCCACTCCCCACTCCTCTTGGGCTGTGCCGCTCGTTAGTTGCGCCCCCCCCCGGCTGACGAGGCCGTGCACCCTGCTTCCGAGGA